TTAAAACCAGTAACATTTTTAATCCTCAGTTTCCTTTTCTTATGATGCTTTCGAGGTAGAGAAAAAGGTGATGTCAAGGTGTTTGTACATGCCATCCTTGAACTGTGGCGACATGTCTCTTCTAAATAGTAGGGGAGACAACTGGTCACAGTTCAAAGATGATATGTGCAAACACCTGGACATAATTTTTTGTCTCTCTCTACAATTTTCTCAGGAATTTTGCTCCAGAATGGGTTGTCCCGTAGGTAATAATTGCAAAGAGAATCCAGTTTTCTTAAATTACAGTCTATAGAGCCAGAGATCAGCAAACTGCATGGCATGAGGTGTGTGAGTTTGTGTGTGTGTTTATTTCCGCTGCCTCCCACACAGCAGCCTCATCAGCCCCTGGCCTTAGAAGTATTCTCTGAATTATGTTCTGTTATGTTCTAGCCTTAACCTTTTAATATTATTTTAAAGTTTAAATGCATTCTTTCAGAACTTCTTGAAAGCTCTTGGAAAATATTTCACCCCACCTTTTCCTATCCACAGGAAGGAGCAGCTGCTTAGATGTTCTCAGTGCAAAGCTGCGAGATATTGTAATGCACGTTGCCAGGTAATGATGATTCTGAAGTGAACCACAAATGCATAATGTATGTATTTTAACCTTTCAGCTTTTTGCACCCTAGGAAAAACTGTGTATTTGCAATGGTAAATATCTATAGTATTGGATATGGGATGACAGATTCCAAGACATTGTTTGTAAATATACGAGTTTTTAAACTTGTAGTACTGCTAGCTCAGTTTGAATGCATGGTATAAATATAGATCTAACATTAAAAATAAGTGCTTAAATTGAAAATACATGTTTTGATGTTTACTTTTATACTGTAAACAGAGATCTGATCATTTGTGATAAGTAATTGCATTTTGATGCATTAAATATAAATTTGTAGAGATTCTGGAATGAGATATACAAAATAAGAGGTAAGACAATACACGTTTAATAATAATTTTTGGTTCTAAAGAAAATCTTTCAGATGATGCTAAACTACTACATTTATTGTTTTAAAAGAACGTCATTGCATAGGTTTTTCATGCCTTTTGATGTCATTAATACTGTATTTCAGGTTTCTCCTACACTAGGACATTTTAGTGCTTCTGAATTATTGCTTTTCTGCAGTGTGCTGGAAGCAGAACAAAAGAGGTTGTACACGGCAGTAAGTCATACTTAACAAAGCTCCCCTGTGCATTTAATTAAAGATTCCTTCTTGCTACTTCATTTGAAATTGTTTGCTGTGCAGCTTGGGATCACGAAACAAAGCAGGGGAGTGAATTGTTGAATTTTGTGATGCCAACAGTTTGTTCTTTGCAAACACATTCTTCAGTCAACCGAAGAGACAACTGTAAACAAGGATGTTACCTGATAGCCAATACATAAATCAAATAGACTACATAATTAGAAGCGAATTTTCATTCTCTCTGAAAAACAAGAAAAACGAAAAAGGAAAGAAAGAAAGGCCATGAACTGTTGATATGAAAGTATATTAAATCAATCATTGTGGCAAAATGTAACCTGAAGAATATTACTGTAAAATTAAAAGACCATGTAAAGAATATATTTGTGCTATTAAGCCTAATAGACTGGGAGCTAGAACTCTGGACCAAAACTGGGGGCATCGTCAGGGAACAATGCAAAACAAACAAACACATTTGCAGCCAAAAAGAAGAAGAAGAAGAAAAAGCCTCATTGGATGACAGATGAAACTCTTCAAACAGTTAAGAAGAAGTGAGACGCCAAGATCAAGGGTAGAGTTCTGAATGCAACTGTTAGCAACTTGTGCATAGGGACAAAGAACTATTATAATAATCAATGCAAAGAAATAAATGGAGGCAACAAAAAGGTAGAACAAGAGACCTTCTACAAGATCTGAGAACTTGAAAGGGAATTCAAACCAAGAGTGAGGATGCCATATAAACCACAGGGAAATATACCATATAAACAAGGAAAAAAAAAAGATTATGGAAGCGATACACTGAAGAATTCTATAACAGAGATGAAAGATGACAGAGTCATTGTTACCCAAAATGCAAGGGGCACCCACACTTAATATTTAAGTAGGGTTTTTTAATTAGCTCAAATGACAATAGCTGAGAGAACTCGGACAACCGAAGTGGGGATCAAGCATGTGGATGGCCATCTGCCAGTGATGCTTTGATTTTGAGTTCCTGCATGGCAGGGGGTTGGATTGGATGACCCTTGTGGTCTCTTCCAACTCTATGATTCTATGATTCTATGATTCTATAATGGTTCCAAGAAAGAGAAGCGCAGAAAGAGGAGTCCAGAGTTCAGCTCCAATGTCATTATATATAGGCAAAGGAAATCACCATTCACATGAGACACCCACCCATGCACACATTCAAGAACTAACAATATAAAGGTGGTATCAGATAGCGACTTAAAAGGGTTTGCAGAGGGTAATACTATACAAATTCCAGATGTGTACCTCCAATAAGGGGTGGGGGCACTGTGAGATGGAAAATGGATCAGCTTATGGCGTGGCCAGCTTATGCTGAGGAGTCAAGTGAGATATGGACAGAGTGCCTGTCAGACCTCAAACGAGACTGAATTGGGGTGCTTGGGTAGGCATATTTTTAAGGCAAAAAAATATCCCAGAGCATGTTTCAGGAGATGAAAGGATTTCCAGGAGGGAAGAATGAGCAAGGAATTTGAGAATGGCTAGACTATCAGTTCAAATGTCCTTGGACAAAAGAGAGTCACTCCTGGAAGGGAGTGTACTTGGACTTCTGTTCATGTGTAAGTGCCAGGTCTATCACCCACCATCATTCCTATAAGTGGAGGGATTATGCCGATTCTGATCCTGATTGGTCTGTCCTGTCTATGTGCTCGTGAATTCTCCCATGTTGAGCTAATCAGATTTCTTTATATGGCACTTTGGGCTGCCCTTGTGGCTATATGCTTTAAACATCCCATTAATATCAGGAGGGGTTCAGAGGGCTAAACCTTGGGGTAGCATCATTCAAGGAAAAACTTTTAGTCAATGAACCCAAAGATATGTGGATACAATAGACTGCCAAAATGATCAATATGGGTCCTAGAACAAATCAAACTCAAACCTCTCTGGAAGCCACGATGATCAAATTGAGGCAATCATACTTGGACATGTGATATAATTCATTATGAAAGTCAATAATGCTGGGTAATGTGTAAGGCAGTAGTGAAAGAAGAAAACCATATTACAGGTGGATACACTCAATCAAGAAAACTACAGCCTCAAGCTTGCAGGACTTGAAGAGACCTGTTGATGACAGGATAACTTGGAGGTTTCTCATTTATAGGCTATCAGGTGGAAGCCAACTTTATAGCAATTAACAACAGGAGCCAGCATGGTGTAGTTGGTTGAGTGTTGGAGTATGACTGAATATTAGGGTTCAATTCCCTACTCAACCATGGAAACCCATTGGGTGACCTTGGGCGAGTTACACACTCTCAGCCCCAGAAAACCCTGTGATACGTTTGCTTTAAGGTCATCATAAGTTGGAAAGGACTTGAAGGCACACAACAATAACTTTAGCTTTAGATTTTCATGTTTAATGCCATTTAATAGTTTTGGGGGAGGAAGATACAACTGAATTTCTTCTGTACAGTAGCTTAGATTTTCTGAATTACTAGAGCTGTTAACATTATCCACTCTCAGCCTCCCCTCATGAAGACTGTGACTATTGGCAGCTTCCATGTCAGTGAGCTGATGAACCCACTTTGAGTTTTTAAGTCCACATGAACCCACTTTGAGTTTTTAAGTCCACATTTTAAAAGGAACTATCAAATTTACCAAATTTGTGTTTTCATCTGGGAGACACTCTCATAATTTGAACACTATCAGTTGCTCAAAATGGTTGGGACTCTGTCCTTTGGAATACCTAGATTAACACATCCCTTATATGCAAGGAACAAAATGGTTTTCTTTTCCAAAAGAGTCCACATGCAAAGATAGGTAATTGGAATTGAAAACTAGTGACTTGCTGGTCTCTCTTTAGGGTTTTCTGAGTACGGTATTTAATTTTTTTTCTTAGAGCTGAGCTTGCATTCTTGGGAATCTTCTCAGCGTTGCCTATTGCATCTCGATGTCTTTTGTGGAAGAGATCTTGAGTATCAGTTGGTGCACTAGCTCTGCCCTTGTGTGTACAAGAAAAGAGAAATTGCAACTGAGCAATTGTTATTATGCTACTGCACATACCAAAGACCTGCCAAGCAAAAGGAGGTGGGTGTAAACTATTGGGACGAGTACTGTTGTGCTTGGCAGCCTAGGTAAAGCAGAATGGCTGTGAGCAAATAAATTCTGGGCTGATGCCTTGTTTTTATAGCACCAGCAGGTGCAGCTGTGCCATTACTTAAAACAGAAAGGACTGTGGCCATTTTTAGCCTGTGTGTATTCATACTGTGGATGGATTCAAAGTAGCATTGATCATAAGGATGTGATTCAACTGTCTTTCTAATGTGAAAATGGAGCACTAATACTGGAAGAATGAGATGCATCATTTTATGTGATGTTGCATCTTTCATCTCATTAATCCTTTCCTGGTTACATAAAGTGTTGATCATGTTGATGTCTCTTCTAGTATATTTTGAAATCCTTCTCAATATTTATTTTAAGAACAAAGTATGTGAGACAAGGGCTGTCTTCAAAGAACAATTTTAGTTGGCTCAGGAGAAACATACCAGAATTTCTGCAATAATTTATACAGCATTATGTCTTAATGATTGTAGACATTGCTGTTTATTTAGGATAAGAGAAACTAGATTTGAGTAACTTCCTTTCTGGCTAATTTGTGTTGCAGTTGTGTGTGTTGTTTGCCTTTAAGTCATTTCCAACTTACGGCGACCCTAAGGTGAATCTATCACAGGAGTTTTCTTGGCAAGTTTGTTCAGAGGGGGTTTGCCATTGCCATCTTCTGACACCGAGAGAGTGTGACTTGCCCAAGGTCACCCAGTGGGTTTTTCATGCCTCAGCAGTGATTCAAACCCTATTCTCCAGAATCATAGTTCAACATGCAAACCATTACACCACATTGGCTCTCATTAGTTCAGCTTAATAATCACTCTCACTTTGTAATCCATGTGAAATAACAGAAGCAGCAGAGACGGGTAAGCCTTCTATAAAACACATTTTGATTAATTTGGGTTATCTAAACAAGAAAGTATATTTGTGTGGATTTTTCACAAGATTCATAAGATATGAAGTACACTTCTTCTCAGAGGAAGCCCTGTGAACAGTGCCAAAAGTTTTCTGTGGGTTTTTCGGGCTGTGTGGCCATGTTCTAGAAGAGTTTCTTTCTGATGTTTCGCCAGCATCTGCCAAAAGTCTTCAGTGCCAAAGGTCTTCAGCTATCTTTCCTTTTGTGCCATCACTTTGAATTGGCTTTCTACCTTATAGAGAGTTGTGGTTGGTTATGTGAATGTACCGTATGTTAAACTGTCTTATATTGGGTTAAAGTTTCTAGCCATGTATTGTCTTTTCTGAGTGAAAGTAGTGCTCTAGGGTCACAGCCTTCCTGGAGTCTTTTAACCAGAGATGCTGCAGATTGAACCTGAGGTACTATACATGCGAGGTATATGTGGCTATCATGCAGAGAGCCAAAAGATTTATTTCTTTACAAATAATAGAGTACAAGGACCTTCCAGTTAGGAAATGGGCATTTATAAAAGAAGTCTATTTGCATCAAGCTTGTATATGTGTGGTTTCACCTCTTATGCCTGCTCTATTGAATGAATGGAAAATTGGTAAGCAAACACATAGATTCCACTGATCAATTGGGTCTAATCTAGCCAGTGCTGACAATTGAATTTAGGCCATGATACGTACATCTATTTGTGTATATCTCTATAACAAATGTATGCCTAACTATATATGAGAAAATGTATATACCGGTTGAGTTTCCCTTATCCAAAATGCTTGCGACCAGACGTGGTTTGGCTTTTGGAGTTTTTTGGCTTTTGGAATATTTGCATATACATAATGAGATATCTTGGAGATAGGACCCAAGTCTAAACAAGAAATTCATTTATGGTTTATATACACTTTCTACACATAGTCTGAAGTTAATTTTATAAATAATATTTTAAAATAATTTTGTGCATGAAAGAAAGTTTTCATACATTGATCCATAAAAAATGCAAAGTGTCACTATCTCAGGGCCAAGCAGACGGCTTAATAGGCCGTCCTCGGCGCAGGGAAGGGGAGGGGCAGCTGCATGCTCGGCACCCCCTCCCCCTCCCGAGGTCGTCCTTGGAGCAGCCGACCCTCCACACGGCGGGCGCTCCGAGGAGGGCCTCCCGCCGCAGCATCCGGACACGCTGCAGCGGAAAAGTCGCTGAAAGTGTGCCACAACCTTTTGCGGCGCACTTTCAGCGACATATGAAAAATGACATATTTTCAGTGACATATGAAAGGAGCGCTATTTTAGCGCTCCTTTCCAGGGGTGCCGACGGTGCGCCGCTGGACCGAGGCATGGGGATGCCTCGGTCCCGCGGCGCTCCTTCCCACGGCTGCCCGTCTGCTTAGGCCCTCAGTTACCCATGTGGACAATTTTGGATTTTGGAATATTTTGGATTTTGGAATTTCGGATGGGGAGACTCAACCTGTGTGTGTAACACAACTAGTAGAATATATAATGGATTACAGCAATAGAAAATAAATTTACTTCACTTATGGGGGTTACAGACTGCCAGAAATAGTGCAAATTGAGTCCACTTTTAGGGTTAGGGTTAGGGTTAGTGATAGGGAATCATGGGAATTGTTTTTTCCTGAGACATTGAGTCTTCTTTGTCAGAGAGCTCTGATGCCACAATAAAATGCAGTTCCCATGATTCCCTAACCCTAACCCTAACCTAAAAGTGGACTCAATTTGCACTATTTCTGGCAGTCTGCAACCCCCCTTAGAAGCAAACCTATACAAATGAATGTACATAAAAAGTTCAAAAGACAAAAAAGGCAAAAAGAAGGTAAAAAGGACAGTCAAAAAGGTGTAAAAGTCTTTAGAAAACAGATATTACTGTTGACACCTACTTATATTTTGTAACTTCCTTTTAAAATTAAATTATTTCCCCTATTTCTTATTTTTCTTTGAAATACACTTTTGTTTTGTAAGATTCTATTTTTTGCTCTTCTTTCAAGCTAGTATAACATGTTAATGTTACCAATATAGAAAAAAAAACTTACATACACTTATTCTCTTATGATATGATAATCTCCCATTTTCTAGTACACATTATCCTAGCTGCAGTGATTACATATGCAATTTTTTTCCCCAACACTGGTAAGAAGATCTGCCTATTCTTAAGGAATGTGGGGTCAAGTTGAATTTTTAATCTTTCCCTTTCATCTTATTTATTCATTACCAGTATTTTCTCTTTTTTTGCCAAAGTAGATTACAAAGAAATACAACAATAAATGCCTCTTCATTTTTGCCACACAATTAAATAGTTTTAAATCTATTTGGTGAGAAATGCAAATGCTTCTTTTTTGAACATTTATTTACCCTTTCAGATTTCTGTGTACTGCTACCCTTAAATCCTATGTCATGCAGTATCCCAGTATTATGAGTTGGAAGGGACTACAAAGCTTCTGCTGATGGCTGCCTGCTTCTGTGCAAACCTTAAGAAGAAATTATGGCACGATAGCAACATGAACAACACAACACAGGAAAATCTTTTTGAGATAGCCACCAAGGGACCTCCAAAATAAAACTGGGAAAATAAATATTCAAAGCAGAGGATTACTGATTTCATTGGGCCAGGATCAGCATTTCTATAAATATTATTTGACAAGTTTACAAAAGATGCAGTTTTGTTTCTGTGTGTTTCTGTGTGGGAATTGTAACAAAATACTGCAGTGGACATGTTCACTCATTAAGAGAAGTCATGGTGAATGAGCATATATGAGTTTGTGGCCCTTCCCCATCTTTTCTCTCTTCCTGCCAGGGGCAGCCAATGGGTTTGTTGCCATGGGGGCAGTGAATCCACCTAGGTGGATGCTGAGGAAAGGCCTCTTACCTTTGCACAGTAAAGCAAGCCAAACAGAAAGAGAGGAAGAGCCAGTGCTTCATGTGCAGACTTAGGGGGGTTTCAGACTGCCAGAAATAGTGCAAATTGAGTCCACTTTTAGGGTTAGGGTTAGTGCTAGGGAGTCATGGGAACTGTATTTTATTGTGGCACCAGAGCTCTCTGACAGAGAAGGCTCAATGTGTCAAAAAAAAAAAAATTCCCATGATTGCTTAGCACTAACCCTAACCCTAAAAGTGGACTCAATTTGCACTATTTCTGGCACTCTGCAACCCCCCCTTAATTACCTGACATTCAGCAATTAGCCACCTGGCTATCAAGGTCAGGCAGATATAAATCCAACAACTGGAGGAGAGTTCTAGTTTCAAACAACTGATCTATAACCTGGTAAACTCTCTCTTGTGCATTTTGGATTTCTTGAATTTCTGACGACTTGGACCAGCTATAAGATATACATCTTTTCATTCTCCTTCTTTGTCTTTGTGATTGCACGTTACCCACAAGCATCTTGGAAATGTTTGAGACTTTACCGCTGTGTCTACCTGCATTCTCAAATAATCTCCTATGTCAGTGCTACTGATCTCTGGACCAGTGTCAATCTTTGGGCCATTGGCTGCCAGTTCCTGGCAAGTTTCTAGGAAAGAAAGGAATGATTGTAGCCAAAGGCACAAAGATGGCGCTGGTCCTTGGCCTATTAGGAAAAAAAAAGTGGGTCCCTTGCATCAGATGGCCCAAGAACCACTATCTCAGGTGGCATCTGTATTTCTTGGGCTGACCTAACATGCCTGTGACTTCTCAGCCCTACTGGAGCCTTATTTCTCCAGGCACCTGTTGCTTCTAAGCATAGGACAGCTTGGTGCCTAAATCTAACCATTTTCTCTTCTCTGTAGCTGTGATAATTGCTGGAGGATGGAGTTGCTGGTTTGATCATTACTATGTTTGGATACTGCCAGTGTAAATGATAGCCATGGAAGTACATGACAACAGCTGCTAACTCTCAAGGGTCATGAAGGTCTACTTGAAGTGTCTACATGAAGTTCTGCTTGGCTCTATAAGTCTTCCAATTCTTCCTGAGTCTTCAGTTGAAGTTACTCATTTTGTGGAGTAAATATCATTAGAATGCTCCTGTTTTGAATATCTGTCTCCCAACTGCTCAGTTATTAATTTACTGGTTTACCAGCTTGCTACTAATGACTTTTCTTTCTGTTTGCTTCACTTTACCTCCTTCAGTATCCTGGCAGTGGCTCCAGTGCATGTGTTCTGCATCCTTGGAGACTGGCTTTCTCAGCTCAGTCTGCCATCGTTCAAGCATTTAGTACACTATCATTTAAATGTTTAGTGATGTATTCAGTAGGGTAATTTTTTTGTGAGATGGACTGAAACTGAACAGCATACCCCTACTACTTCCTCTTTCTCTTCCTGAAATAGGGAATTGATTTCCATCTAATACTGAGGGCCAGAACTTTAATCAACTCCAAGTTAATAAGTTTAAAGAGTTAAATGTTCCTATTATAGGTAAACTTATCTAAATATGGAAGACATATGGCTGCTAGAACACTTAATTAGTAGATACTTCTAATAACAAATAATTAATGCAAAACAGTAAAAACATGCATGTACTTCCACAGTGATTCATATCAAAGCTGTATGTGCCTGAATATAGTCAAAGGCTTATTTTGGGTCAAAGATTCTTTAGCTTCCATGCAATCACTTTTACCAGTACACTGAGACCTTTACAATAATACTTACTTAATAATCATATTAATCAGACTTTAGAATGTTTTGTTGGTGTAACTATATTTTAGAAGCAAATTATTTTCTTTTTATTTTTTCCCAACTTGTAGAAAGAAGCCTGGCAGGACCACAAACGGGAATGCAAATGTATTAAGAGTGTGGAGCCTAACTTTCCACCAGACTCAGTGAGGCTTGTAGGGAGGATCATTTTCAAACTAGTAAGTAAATTTTCTGTGTGTGATTGATAGTAAAATATATACTAATGCGGAGGTGGATTGC